CATGTGCTTAATCACTGGAATAATACTTTGTATCCCCATAATGGGACTAAACTTCGTATCTATTCCTTCATGCAGAAAACAAAGCCAACCCAACACAGTGTCCGAGATCTAAGAGCTTTGGGATTGACTCCTCACTTTTTGGCATGTCGCTCTGCTCAGGTATCGCTTCAAAATTTGCATACCTTGGGAAAATATGAACTCTCACAGTTACTGCAGAGTCTTGACATGCCTTAAATATACTTTTCCTGCAGCCATTACTGGAAGCTACAAAGACAAAATTGTCTCAGTTTTGTCATGTTTCGGTAAAACTTATCTGAAGTCTACGTTGTGGATTTACTTACCTGATGTGTATCTGACGCAGTTGGGATTTCATAACACTTGCTGATTTTTTTCAGGCTGATAATATTCTCAATATCCATGATGTTCCTAACATTTGGCATATTCCTCTCCTACTCCGAGTAAGTTGGATGCTTTTTTGGCTCTTCCAAAGAGACGAAAAATAAATATTGAGATATGAGTTTTGTTATTGGAGAAGTACTTTTTCATGTGCGCTCCTGCTGCAGAACCAAAACGCCCACCAGTCGATTCTTAAGCAACTGAATCTAATCGGGTTAGTCTCATTTCTTATGGTGTTTATTGCTTCGATATCAAAAGTGAACAGTGAACACTTTCAGCGTAACACAAAACTCATCTCTTTCAGCGTTGCAACAGCACCTGATCTGGATAGCTGGACTAAGATGGCTGAGACTTTTGATAACTTGACAAATCATGTGAGTATTTGCTGGCCAGAACACCTTTGTTTTAGAGCCTTTGATTTTCTTATTCAAATAGATTGTTCCTCTGTTATGCACAGGTCAGCATTGCTGTGGTTGGAAAGTACGTTGGTCAAACGGATTCTTATTTGTCAGTTGTTAAGGTAAACTTAGAAAGAAAGAAAAAAGGAATTTTTTAGATTGTCTTCTAAAAATTGAATTTCTAGCGCATTTGGTTTGGTTTTTTTTTTTTCTTTCTTATTTTCATATTTTCCACTTCGTCGCAGGCCCTTCTTCATGCCTGCATTGCATGTTCATTGAAGCCACAGATCGAATGGATTGCAGCTTCAGATCTTGAAGACGAAAGTGAAAACTCGGTATTCATCTTCTTGAATCTTTCCGATCAAAAGTTTTATGCTATACTACCACTATCTTCGATTTAAGCATCACTTCTCCTTTGCAGACTCCGGAAGCACATGCTACTGCTTGGAAGAGTTTAAAGGTGAGAATTTCTGTCACTTTTCAAAAAAAAAGGAGACATTCTTTGCCGACAATATAGTCTCTGTTTTTTTTTTCGCAGAGCGCAGAATGCATTCTACTTCCTGGTGGAGATCATGGCGTGAGTGGAATGATTTTAGCAGCAAAATACGCTAGAGAGAACAAAATTCCTTATCTTGGGATCTGCTTGGGGATGCAAATAGCAGTGATCGAGTTTGCCAGATCTGTAAGAAACTTCTTTCAAACTCTGAAATACAGCTTGCTCTGTTCCATTTCCCTCCCTAAAACCAATTTAGCTCTCTTCTTCTTCTCCTTCTTCTTCATCTTCTTCTTCTTCTAAATCTCTGACATTGGTTTCAGGTTTTGGGTTTGGAAAGAGCAAATAGTACCGAGTTTGATGCTCAGACACCTGACCCTGTTGTTATATTCATGCCAGAAGTATGTATTCCGAACATGAAAATCTACCAATGGAGTCCGTTCATTCTCTCATTCATTTTTTATTTACATTACCACAGAGCTCAAGAGCGCATATGGGAAGTACAATGAGATTAGGATCCCGAAGAACGCATTTACAGACCCGAGACTGTCTCACTTCAAAACTGTAAACATAACTACATTTATCTTTGCTGTTTCCTTGAGATTCCTTTGTAGCTTTCAGTTCATGATCTAAAGACTACAACTTGTTTTGCTCTGGGCAATTTTACCAGGTACGGCGATGTTTGTTATGTAGACGAAAGGCATAGGAACCGTTACCAGGTTGGTTTTTCATTTCAGGTGGATCCTTAAATATTCTACTCACAGTATTGATCACAATGATGTGAAACAAAAAAAGCTGTTTTTATTTGATGATGTTAGGTGAATCCAGAAGTAGCTCAAGTACTTGAAGAAGCTGGTTTAAGGCTTATGGGCAAAGATGATACAGGGAAACGAGTTGAGGTATAGGAAAAAAAGAAAAACATCAATAGGCACAAGTGATTTTGGTCTGGTCTGGTCTGGTCTGGTCTGGTCTGGTCTCTCTTTGCAGCATCTGTTTTTGTTTTTAACAGGTGGTTGAGTTTCATGATCATCCGTTCTATGTTGGAGTTCAGTTTCATCCAGAGTTTAAGTCAAGACCCACTAGACCTTCTCCTCTGTTTCTAGGCAAGTCTTGTTCGTTTCAATGACATTTTTGTCAGACAGACATCTTTAAAACTCACTAGATTTGTTGTAAACTGTAATGGGAATTTTACAGGGTTTATAATGGCTGCGAGGAAGCTTCTTCAGGCCCATTTAAGCAATTGAGTCGAATCTCAAACTCTTCACTGTCATTTATTTACTCTTTTTGACCGACGCTAATTAGAGAGGAATACTTCGGGGAACAGGCCATGTATAACTGATGCTACAAGAGGAACATAAGCCCTTAACCAAATCAATCTCTCTACTTTGGTAAATAGTTTTTCTTTTTTAACGAGGGGGGACACAAATACAAGTATCTGTGCACAAAATTATTTATAAGAGAAGAAAAAAATTAATGATAAATTAAACAATCAAAATCTCATCCACATGAATAACCTAACTCTGTTTTTTTTCTTTCTCCCCAATAAAAATGATCCAACCCGTCGGCAAACCACACATTAAAATAAACAAAAAATATTCCCACATCTCTCATTTTGTGTAACCGGTTTGGATTAACCGCCCTAAGCCAAACCCATTTTACCGGCAAGGGTTTTCCATCTTATACAACAAAAGCTACCTTTGATTTTCTTCAAAAACCGAACCAAGCACAATATATATCTCCAGATACTACCAGTACCAAGCACAATATATCTCCAAATACCAAGTCCTTTAGTCGCCAGACAGACCGTCACCAATATATTTAGATAACAACACACTAATTAGATGTGTTAATAGTAGTAATACCTAAATACTGACTCAATTTGGAAGACAAAGGAGTAAGTTTGTTTTGTTTCATAGTTATATTTAATTGTAAATTAAAATAAAGCATCATCGACCGTTGATGGTAGTGAAAGTAACTTGATTGATTGATGCAGATTGAGTGTGCCCAATGGATTGAATCGCTCGACCCACTGAAGACGATGAAGCAGCTGGATCAGCGAGAAGTCTGGCGTAGTAGTAGTTAGGCTCTTGTGGGACAGGAATATCGGCTGTCCTGCTATTTAGCATTACCACCAACACCTCGGTGCTTGGTCTATTCTCAGCTTCATCTTGAACACAACATAGACCGATCTGTGTGCATCTTAAAACTTCCTCTTCCACTAATGAATCGTCTTTGAAGTTAGGATCAACTAGGTCGAGACCGTTGCCCTCATTCCATCTTCTCCACACCTGTTACATAAAATTATATCGATCAGTGCTTCTTTTTTAGAAAAGATATCAAAATTTGTATTTGGTGTATGATTGATTGATTGATTGATTGATTCTTACAAAGCTGAGAAGGCTGTCGCCAGGGTGTGAGGTACAAAACTTGGCGTTTTGTTGTCCGGTACAAGGATCATTACCCCAAGGCTGAAGACATCGCTTTTCTCCGAAATTGTATTAGACATGGCGTATTCCTCGGACATGTACCCACTGTGATTGTAATGAGTAAATTAAAAAAGACTGAATGAGAATATGAGAGATCATATATATATATGAGAACTCTTCTAATTCTATTTTTTAAGGGAAAAATATTGTTGTTTCGATGTCTTACTAAGTTCCCATAAGTGTCTGCGTATGTGCTTCCGTCGTTCCACTTCCCAAAATCTTTGCCATCCCAAAGTCAGATATCTTTGAAGTCAGATTTTTATCCAGCAGAATGTTGCTGGGCTTCAAGTCCCTGTGGATTATGGGACTGTCTCTAAAATTGTGCAGATACGAAAGTCCTCTTGTAATCTCACGGATGATACGGAACCGATTTTCCCAGTTCAGTAATCGGCTTCGAGCCTCATCTACACACAAACCAAATCGAATTAGAAAAGAGGTTGAAAAACAAAATATAAAAGGAAATGGAGGAGGGAGGCCACTGACTGAAGAGATAGCGATTCAAGCTAGAGTTTTCTAAAAACTCGTACACTAAGATCCTCTCATCCCCTTCGCAGCAACATCCTTGAAGCCGGACAAGGTTTTTGTGCAAAACGTTTAAAATTGTTCGAACCTCGTTCTTGAACTCTTCTATCCTTTGAGACGAATCTGTGGATAACCTTTTAACCGCCGTTCCGTTTGGTAATAATGGCTGTAACCACATTATTATACAAATACAATATAGAGTTTGATTAACATAGAGATTCTTACCTTATACACGATACCGAAACCACCTCGGCCGAGGAGTATGTTGGAAGGAGAAAAATTATTTGTCGCCTCCACAATCATTGCAAAGTCCATGAAGGTAAATCGATCTTCTCCGGTTATTTCGCTAATCATAATTTCTGTTTGATTTGGTCCTAGGCATATATAAAATAATAATGACTAATATAAGAATGCTACCAAATCAAACAGAAATCGAAACTGATCAGATTGTTCTACCTTGAGGAGGAGGAGTTGGTGCTGCGCTTCTTTTCATTCGTTTCCAGAAGCAGAAGCAAAAGAGGATGAATATTACGATTCCACCGACGATGATGGTTTATGATCCAAGGCTTCAAAGACTTTTCTGGACTTGTTTCTTTAGCAGGTTCTGGAACAAGACATATATATATCGGATGAAGATCATGAGGCAGTAGTTAAGTTGAAATTTCATGTAATATATATATAGTTCTTATCTTATATATGTGACGACTAACCAAGATCCTTTGCTGCCACTCTGACATAAAGTTGTTGACCACCAAAACCAGAGTACTTTTGCATATCGTCGAGTTCACCGGTCCAATACACACAATAGGAATTGTTTAGCTTTTCCACAAGGGCAAATGCAGTGCAGGCACAATCACTGTGGCAGAATTGCTTACAAGTCTCAAAGCCATCTAACTGGTATTGATCAAAATGTCTTTCCGGCAGCTTCATGTTTTTTAGTAGCAGATACTTACTGTCATTGCAATTGAAAGCTCTACTCCTCACACACCCACCTGAAGGCTCCGTCTTTTGATGGAAACCTTGAATACAGCTACACATGGGTGCCTTGTTGGTGGTGGAACAGAAGCTATAGGATCCACACGTCCTGTAATTTCCTGCAACATCACGCAAATACCCGTGGCAGTCATCTTTGGAAAGCGACCAAGAAGCTTTCGATACACGGGATTTCAAATCCCAAGTATATACGCCAATGCTCTCCTCTTGGTTAGCTTCCAAGGTTAGCCTCGAGTGGTTCCCAAGGTAGTTCGTCATTACCAGCAAGGTTTCATTCTCTATTTCCAGTATCGGTGGCATATCACCAAAACTGTATCCATTCCACACAATGCTCCAGTTCTTCGCTGACAATGGATGTCCTAGAGAAATCGCAACAACCGCGCTGTAGAAGTCATCTTCAAATCTCAACGAAAGGTACCCACTTGACGGATCAGTTTGATTTTTCCAGGGTTTAAGGACTTTTCGGCTTCCTGTTTTGGGATCATATCCTAGCCTCATGTTTGGTAACAGTGTGTCTGTTGGATTGTCGAAGCTCTGCCACAAGTATCCTTTTTTTTGCGTCGTTGGAGTCCCTCACGACGAGGTTGCCGGTATCTTGGAGTTGTACTACCATCTGTGAGTTCACATCTCCTCCTCCTGTCAGATTCGCCGACCACACAGTTTTATTACCTTGACCGATCAAGACGAGGTCGTTGTTGGAGAACGTGAGGGTTCCCATTGGTGTGGTGAGAGCGTTGTCTCTGTTGGCGACCCATAAACAGGTTCTTTTAGGGTCTTGAGCTAACCAAATCCCCAGATACCACCTAGAAATAAACACATTTGGCTGCACAAACCCTAACTCGAAGACGTTTGTCGGAGACGGAAACGTCTCGTTCCTTTCAAGCTTCAAGATAAACGATTCAACACAGGAAGACTGTAGAAGAAGAAGAAGAAGAACAACAAGTGAATAAACGCAGAACATCGAATCACTCTTCATCTCTCAATTCTCTCAAAATTCAGGAGCTGGGAATTTCTGCTGGGAATTTCTCACAATTAGGAAAGCACTTTTTACTATAAATGGTAATTGGCATTTCGATAGGGATATCTGATACTGTTTGAGCCTTTTTTTTTTTTTTTGTTCTTGTTGATCTTGATTTTTTGACCGTTGTATCAATCCTATCTCTAGACTTTGTTAACGTTCTTACACACTCTCTCTCTCGTTCAAATCATACAGATCCATATTTGAACGCCTGATGTTGGTACTATGTCCCCTTTTGAGCATGGAGAGGTTTTTGTACTCGATGATGGTGGAGAGGTTTTCTTCTCACTTTCTCTTGTTTTACACCTTCTTACATTTGTTCATAAAACATCTTGTTGCCATAGAATGGCTGCATTGCATATCGCCGATTCTCTGTCTTCTGTCTAAGGTCGATCTTGATTTGGGGAACTATGAAAGATTTCTCCAAGTGACACTAACCAAAGACAATAACTTAACCACTGGTTCCTGGATGTGGCGTGAGCGGAATGGTTTTAGCAGCAAGATACGCTAGAGAGAACAAAATTCCTTATCGTGGGATCTGCTTGGGGATGCAAATAGCAGTAACTCAGTTTGCCAGATCTTTAAGAAACTTCTTTCAAACTCTGAAATACAACTTGCTCTGTTCCATTTCCCTCCCTAAAACCAATTTAGCTCTCTTCTTCTTCTTCTTCTTCTTCTAAATCTAAATCTATGACATTGGTTTCAGGTTTTGGGTTTGGAAAGAGAAAATAGCACTGAGTTTGATGCTCAGACACCTGACCCTGTTGTTATATTCATGCCACAAGTATGTATTCCGAACATGAAAACCTATCAATGGAGTCCGTTCATTCTCTCATTCATTTTTATTTTTTTGAATTACCACAGGGCAAGGACGCATATGGGAAGTACAATGAGAGTAGGATCCCCAAAAACGCATTTACGAGTTGAGGTATGGGACAAAAAAAAAACATCAATAGGCATAATCGTTTTTGGTCTGGTCTGGTCTCTCTCTGCATCATCTGTTTCTGTTTCAACAGGTGATTGAGCTTCATGATCATCCGTTCTATGTTGGATTTCAATTTCATCCAGAGTTCAAGTCTAGACCCACTAGACCTTCTCCTCTGTTTCTAGGCAAGTCTTGTTCTTTTCAAAAACACTTTTGTCACAATTCTCAGACAAATCTTTAAAAACTCGCTAGATTTGTAAACTCTAGCATGTTCATTAGTGAACCCCATGAGGGGTTCTTAACAAATTTTTTAATAGTAAATATTGATTATTTAAAAATTTAGAACCTCATGAGTTTTTTCACCTCCAATGGTGAACCTCATTAGAGGTTCTTAAAAATGTTTGCATAAATTTGATTTTTGTTTCCCATTAGTACACATTTGTGTATTTTTCATTACAAACTCTTCAAAACCGATACTATGCTCTTAAAAATGTTTGTATAAAATTTGATTATCACAGGTGTTTCATTCTTTACATCAATTGTGTACACCTAAAGAATCGATAAGCAGAGAACAAAAGAAACATTACAAGAAGCGTCTATAAGTCAAGTGCATTAGCATTTCATTGCTTTGTGAATAACAATGTAACAGCAAACACATGACCACATACCTCTGTATGGCAAGCATGGACAAGATTTCCATATTGATTGACTTCCTCCTTCCTCCAAACACTTACACAGCTCCAGCTTGTTTCACAGTTGGTGGAACCATTCTCGCCAAGTTGGATCCTATATTAAGTTTCCACTCTCCACTAAAGTCAACAGTAAAAGACCGTTGATGACCCGAATGCTGACACCCGTTGGAATCACCAGGAGCTGTAGCAGTGGAATATCCAGCACTTCCCTTTGTGATAGCTATTTTTCTGCAAACCATAAGCACCCCAAAAAATGGTATCAACACAAAGAGAACACCTTCAAGCTCGGATTAATAACTAACAAGCTCTAACTTTTGAACACATCGCTCTAGTAAACCAAAAGATTAATCAAGCAGACTCCTAACTAGCTTTAACATTTACAGGAACAAAAAAAGTCGCAGCTAACACAATTTTACAAGCTTCTTCAATTATTCCAAAACGTGAATCATCACTGTCAAACTAGCAACAAACTAACTAAACAGATCAATTGGCAAATAAATAAGCTGACTTTCGATGAACCATTCAACTAAACTTCAACAAGAGCACAAAAATGAGAGAAAACAGAAGGAAAAAAAAAACTGTGAACCTGCAAAGGATTCTACGGCGAGGCACCAGAAACCAAAGGATGGAAGAAGAAACGCGAGGACGGCGCGAAACCCAGAAAGAAGAAGGAGAAAAGTGGCGGAAATTCGAAACTAGAAACAGAGGAATCGCTAAACACAAAAATCAATCGCTTTGGAAATTTGGCATTTGATCGAAGCGAGAAAGCACCTCAATGGCCCTGGAAGGGAGCAACCACTCGTCTGGAATCTTGAGGGCTTGTACAACTGATTCGGAGTCTTCTTTTCCCCAATTTGTCTTCGATTTGCTCCGATATTGGTCTGGATTGAAGTCGCCGTTACAGAAAATATCGTCAACATGAAAGCTGGAGAAGGAAAATGGTCGGGATTTTTTGCTCGACATTGGAGAGAGAACGCCGCTAAATTTTTTTTTGCCCTAAACCAATACAAGCCTGCCACGTCTCGTAAGGATAAACATGCTCTAAGGATCGATCCATAGATATTGAGCTTTTTAAAAAATTTTAAAACCCAAAAAATACTTAACAAACCCATTCTAAAACCCTTATGAACCCTCAATGGACCAGGTCTAATGGGAATTTTACAGGGTTTATATTGGCTGCGAGGAAGCTTCTTCAGGCCCATTTAAGCAATTGAGTCGAAGCTCAAACTCTTGATCATTAGCATTATATATTATTTTGTAAATAAGAATAAGTCGACATTTGATACTTTGCCGTTGTCATAAGCCTTCAAGTAAAATGCATTACTACTTATTTACTGACAAGGTGTGAATAAACAAAGGTGGGTGATTCTATGTTAAATGCAAAATCTCATTTTTTTTTATAGAACAATAAAAATATCTATTTAGACAAATCTATTTAATCATTTGGGGAACAGGTCATGTGTAACTGATGCTACAAGAGGAACATAAGCCATTAACCAAATCAATCTTTCTAGCTACTTGGGTAAATAGTTTTTCCTTTTTTAATGAGGGGACACAAATACAAGTATCTGCACAGAAATACCAAAAAAAAAATTATAAGAAGAGAAATAAAAATTAATGATAAAAACAACAAAATCTCATCCACATGAATAACCTAACTCTGGTTTTTTCTTTCTCCCCAACAAAAATGATCCAACCCGCCGGCAAACCACACATTAAAATAAATAAAAAATATTCCCACATCTCATTTTGTGTCACCGGTTTTGATTAACCGCCCTAAACCAAACCCATTTTACCGGCAAGGGTTTTCATCTTCTACAACAAAAGCTACCTTTGATTTTCTTCCAAACCGAACCGACCAAGATCGATGAGACCTCCTCTACTCTCCTCATATAGCACCATCGGCTGCTTTAAAACAATCAGAAAGTAAATTTACATTCCTCCTTTTTTTAAGACCTTACAAAATAAATATCTAATGATCAGATACTTAAAAAAACAAAAAAAAATCTGATGATCAGAATCAGACCCACATGTGATTAGAACATAACCAGCTGGCTCAAGCTAATCAATGGTTGGATTCTAAGAGCCATTGTCACCTACGATGGGGTCCGAAAAGAATCGGTCCCCTTTGCTTTTTCGACATTTTTATAAAGAACAAAAGAGAAGGTGGGGTCAAACATATTTTTAGATGCCAACACAAAGAACAAAGAGACCAATTCTTGGAGCTCTAATTAGCTGTGTTAATAGTGATGGTGAATAGAACATTGTTCACACGTCTCCCTACTAACTCTTTTCTCTTAATCTTATGATTCATTCTAATTAGTAGTTAAACACCCCACTCTTAAAACAAAGATATGATAATACCAAGCACAATACATCTCTAAACACCAGAAACTTAAAAAGTCCTTCAATCGCCAGACAGAGAGTCAACTAATACCCAGATGAGACTAAAGATGACTTACCTCTGAGCTAACAACATCTCATATACAATTGTGCAAAAACAACAATGCTCAAATATAATTTGTGCTACTGTGTTTTTTTTTCTGGATGAACAATCATCAGACCCTAGTAGGAGGAGCCACTCATTTGCCATTTGATGAAGGCAACCAACCTAGTGGCACACTGTACATATCACATCCACCGACATAACAAAGAGACATTCTAACGTTACAAACAATCTAGAGCTTCCCTGGAGACCCTCGTATAATATCAAAGTGAGAGACTCCTCCAAAGTAATGAAGAAAGCAGGTTTTCAAGAATTTAAAGTCAGTGATTAGTGTGGTTCAACTACTGACGAACAAACAAAAACCAAAACTATTAACTTAGACTGAAAATGAAAAAACAGAGTAGTTTGTGTTGAGAATATTACCGGCGACGGCGAAAACCCAGCTAGAGTTGTGGCGTCAAGTCAATGCGAGTGTCGATACAAGTCGTAAGGCGTCCATAGAGCGTCTAAAGGACAGGGTCGTTTCGAATCGAGCCTTAGCCATGGCTTGCCACTACCAGACCAATGAAGCAAACTCACTGGACCAGGATGCAAATCACGACAGCTTCCTCTAACATTGTCCCCACCGAGCCCGTGCTGGTTCCACCGGTGTGAAATCGGGGCCACGTGACCGGCGAAAACCAGAAGAAACGGTGGGAGCGACCCGAGCTCGTAGATCCGCTCGGTTTTCTGAATCTCCATCCATTTCTCGATGCGTCTCGTGTACCCAGCTCGTCTCCATTTCTTTAGATCTATCACCATCACGCCTGTGTTGAAGTAACAAGGGTTCCTCCCTCGAAACGTGCCGGAGAATCTCTCGTCGGACCAGAATCCTCCGGTGAAGTATTTGGTGAAATTCGCGTGGCAGTACTCCGGAGCTCCGATTATCCTCGACCCTAGACCGGTTTTCCAGAGCTTCGCGATGTCGTCGACGACGACGAGATCCGAATCCAGGTATATGACCCGGTTTACGCAGGGCTCGAGCAGATCCGCGAGGTAATTTCTGGCGTAATTCAACGGCTGCTCCAGAGCTTGTCTCACGGAGGAGGATATCAAACCACGGACGGTCTCAGGGGCAAAATAGTAAACGTTGAATTTCAATTCCGGGAAAGTCGATCTCACCAGCGACTCTAGGTTTGTCTCGGAGACGATGAAGTGGAAGAAGACGCTCTCGGGGCACATCGAGTGCTGAAGGATGGAATTGACGGCTGCGATTGAGCCACGAAGGTACTCGACGTCGAGTGTGATCGCCACGTGGACCAATGAGGGGCTGCAGATCCCGGATTCTGCGCCGGAGGAGACACATTCGTCGGCATTGCGAAACACCGGGGATTTCCTGAAGGATGATAACAAACTCCGATCCGATGGCGGCGTCGGTCGGAGGTAAGCGTCGAGATGCGACGACCGGATCGCCGCCGCCGGTGGAAACGACTGAAGCGACGGAGATAAGACGATCACTGCCATCGCGGCGGAGAAAAATCCAGAAAATCTCGTAATCCAAAGCATTTCGAGAATCGCTGATTGATTCCCACAAAATCCGAATCGAAATCAACGAAATACACACAACACCACACAAACAAAAAAATCACGAGATTATTTCAATGCAGAAACCCCGAAAATTTATCCTGAAAAACAACCACAAGAGTCTTTTTCCTTTGAGAGAGAAGGAGAAGAAGAAGATTCCATGAGACAACGAATCTAGGCGCAGAGGGCGCAGGATAAGATAAACGGAGAGGCGCAGGATAAGAAATTAGAGAAGCACCGTGCGCCGACTCTAAATCCTCCCTTCTCTCCTTCTCTGCTCGGAGCTCGCAGAAGAAGAAGACGACGACGATGAGAGAGAGAGAGAATCGACGATGGTTTAATTCTCTTTATAATATATATTTCTTATAAATAAAACGAGTGAGAAGTGAATGCACACTTTTTTTAATTGTATATTGATTGCATCAGTATTTAAGCTTTTGTTATTGATTATCTTATGTCAAGTGTGGCGTATTTTATACGATTTAATGAAACAACAAATAAATTTGTGTAAGTGTTGCGATTACAGAGATAGAAAGACCAGTTGTCATTGTATTTCCCTCTCACTATTTAATGAATGAAATAGGTGTTAAAAAAAAACAGCTGTCATTGTCTATCTTCTATAATTTCTGTTATTAACAACATTATTAATATTTAAAAACGCCAGGACTAATTTTTTTTTATTTTTTTATCTTATACTATTGAATGTATGGTTTGTTTGAGAAAGTAACAATATTTTTTCCCCTATATTATAGAGTATACAGAGATTTTAAATATTTATAGATAGAAACAAAGAAATTTTAGAGGGAAATGGAATCTCGCTTTCAACTTCAAAAATGGTAGTTAAGTTTTTGGTTTAGAGATAACAAAATAGTTATGTTTTGCTTTTGCATGCTAATATCAAGACAAAATCATGCATGTACTCAATAAATTGTTGATACTTCAATGTAATTAATTAGTTGAGATAGAGTATTTAATTTTTTGGGTGATTTCTACATGAATGCATTCACTAAATATATACAGTATAATGGATTTTGTTAAATGCTAAATTACAAAATATCTATTTTTAATACTCTCTCCGTTTCATAAATAGTATTATTCTGACATTTTTTACACATATTAAAAAAATTATTAAAAGTACAATTTTATCCTTTATTAATACATTAAATAATTTATTTTTATCTAATAAATATATTAAATTAATAGGATTAAAACTGAAATATTATTTAAAATTTTGCATTAAAAATATAAAATAATACTTTTTGTGAAAAAAAAATAAAACCTTAAAACGACACTCTTTGTAAAACGGAGAGAGTATACTGTAAATTGAATATAATGAAAGCAATTTCACCAAAAAAATATAATTAAGTATGAAAAAAAAATCTAAATCTAAACAAAGTAAAAACAGATACAGGGGTTATTAACAAACGAAAAAATCATTTTATGATTCCATAACTTCTTCTTATCAATACATAATTAGTTATATCAAATTGCAACTTATATTCCGTAATTTCATTGTTGATCCATTAACAAAATATATTGACTAGTTACGTTTTTTTAATACAATCACTTAATTATCTCACAATATTCAATGTGGGTCCCCTTATCTACGTTAATACGTCGTCGGTTAGTCTGACACAAGCGACACGACCAATGCGAATCTTAAATTTTCCTTTGCTATGTAAACTCTTACACGTACGTTAACGTACCCTTAATAGACAAAATTTAATTTTTTTTTTTTACGTTCTCTAAATGTAATCAAAAGAACCATTAATAATTCACCACGTTTCTATGTCAAATACAACAAAGTAAAAGCAATCGACTACTTTTTTTTCGTTAACATTACTCAAGTACTCACATTTATTACTAAATGAAAATAAAGAGCAATAGATTAAAAAAACTAAAAATTTGAAATACGGTTTAATTTTGAGATTAGTTTATGAAAATATATATATATATATATGTTTTTTTTATAAAAAAAATCATTGTGAAATGTGCTTTTGGTCTTTAAAAGCACATGTGCAACAGTCCGTACGGTCTACGCTTCAGAACCACATAGGCCCATTACAGAATACAGACCAGGCTGGCTTCCACGACCATCACTCGGGTACTGACTCGGATTCTCACTCAGTTTCTGTCTCGTGGGACCCGACTCATTTTCTTTTCATTCAAGAAATGAGATTAAGACGGAACCTATGATCAGAAGAACTATTCAAGTGCTATTGTTATGATAAATGCTAGAGACCAGTTCTTCAATTGAAATATGAGATCAATGTTCAAGACAGATGAAGAAATGAGACTCTAGAATGTTAACTGCACATAATGTTATCATAAGAAGGAATACGTTGAAAAAAAAGTAATACTAAGGAATAATTATTCCCTATAACTCACATGTAAATATATCACGAGTTTTGTTTCGTAATTAAGTGTCAACGGTGGGACTATTTGTCTCGTTGTTGTCGAGGTTATTAGCAATATTGATTGACGATATATATTGTTGTTTGTCTTACAGTCTTCCTTGACGACTCAAGATCTATAATTTTTTAATAAATAAAACTATGTTGTTGAGCCGACAACTAAGTAACAAACAGATTTAATCGTCAAAATCGTCTATAAAGTGAACGATTACGAAACGAACATGATGATTTCGTTGTTGGTCACTGTTGCTGTTTATTGACGAGCGGTCCATTAATTACTCAGTTTGCAAATGAACACATCCTGTTTTCTGAGATAATTCTAATAGTAGTTTTTTAAATGTGGAAGAAAGAGAGAACACAAAAGTCTTGTGATTTTTTTTATTAAATGTTTTTTTTTTTTAATTGATTGTTGGCCCCAAAAAGGTTTCTTCTTATAATATTTTCGACTCATCAGTCATCAATAGCAACTTTGGAATGTGATTCTCTTTAAATTTATAGCTTGTGGGGATAGCACAGAAGGCATCTGTGAAGAACCTATTTAAAAGCCTTTTTGGACCATGTGAAAACTGTAATCTATGCTCGAATCAAATCTATACTTAGAACACATAAACTCAAAATACGAAGACACAACACATTTGGTAAACAGAGTAAAATAGTTTCTTGAATCCCAAGAAAACAGAAAGATCTATTTATTCATTATTATTGTCAATGTTAATCAAAAGTAATCATTTCTGCCTTCAGTTTACAATGTCTTATCTAAGCGGGGAAAGCGGCTAAAGGCAGCGGCTAAGGCGTTTGGTGCTTTTAATTAGTTTCGTTTCTGTTGGAGATTGGGATCCGCGGGTAGACCAACAGGAGTAGACTCGAGCTTGTGTGAAGTAGCTCGTGGATTCTTCGGAGGCGAAAGCGGTTCCTTTTCAAAACCGGGTGGTCGAATCTCCGGTACATTCTCATCCGCCGGAGTCTTAGGATTCGCTACATCATCCAAACCCTACAACAACAACAAAAACATATATATATATATATATTACAATGTAAGAATCTGGTTGGTTAATTGGGTCAGTATAGTTTTAGATCGGTAACAACTAGTAGGGCTTATTAGTTTTCAAAGCATGATTAGAAAAGAAAAGAAAAAGTGTAGATGTTGTATATGCTGTAGAAAAGTTATTACACATCCTAAGTTGGGAGTGAGTCTTGTGACAATGTAAAATCGAACTAAAACGTTGTAATTAATGACAGGAAAAAAAGATAAGGTAAGTAAAAGATGGAAGATACTTCGGGGTCTGTTGGGAAAAGACTAGGCTCGTCTCCATCGTTACGAGCATGAATCTCTGGATCAGCGGTTCGACCAGAAGAAGAAGAAGATAGTCTCTTGGCTAGAAGACGACGACCGAGAGATGAACGTGCCGCTGCGGTAAATGCTTGTGAAGACAGCATTATTCCTGGATTTTTTGTTGTTGTCTAAAACATTAAGGAGGTTTATTTTTCTTTTATAAATACAAAAGAACAAAAAAACAGAAAGCTAAACCCTAGTTTCTCGCAGAAAGAAACTATGACCATGATAATAACCTCTTAATTCCCATTAATCTATCCTATCTTTTAGGCCAAATCAAAAGCCAACGAAGTGGATTTCACAAAAAGTTTGACTGTTACTCAAAAACTTGCTTTTGTTTAAAATCTGAGACCTATTCAAGCTACTCTGTTTTCTAATATTTCGGATCAAAGTGACTTGATGAATTATTTTAGTAGTGGCATAATATAATGTAAAAACTTTCATATCCACTCGTTATAAAGAGATTCGTTATTGAAAAAATCCAACGTAATTGTTTCTCTTCCCAACAACACAGAAAGACTTCAAAAGAAAAAAAAGAAAAAAAAATACTACTCGTAAAATTGTTTCTTCATATCCACGAGTTGTGAGGAGTGGGCGGGCATAAAGAGAAAGACGAGAGAAGATTTCTTCTTCTTCTACTTCACGTTATCAACGTTCGAGATGTCCTGCAGTAGTAGTATATTAACATTATATAGTATTGACTTATAAAAGTCCCAGCAAAAACTATTTTACTCAAAATTCAACTTTTCATACCTTTCAAATAAAGTTGAATTGACCAGGAGGAACGTTAGTGCTTCCGAACTGGAAACCGGATTGCGGAGCGTGATTTTCATCGTTGCCTACTTCTTCTTCATCGTCTTCAGTCCAAAAGGTTTCGAGGATTTTCACGGCTTTTTGGTATATGTCGTCGTTGTCGTGGCTCTGAAGATTCTCAATCTTCTCAAGTCCTTCGGCTTCATCTATCATTGAAGCGTAGAGGTTATCCTCTCCTGTGTTACCCAAGTTTTTCTCTGCTTCTCCAACCACGAGAATGTTCTCTAGCGCTTCTAAACAAACCGATACAATTCTTGGGTCTGGGCAGGTAAGAAGATCGCATATCGGTTTGATACAGCCTTGGCCCACCAGAAACCTGAGAAGAACACACACACAAGACATGTTTTAGAAATGATCCTTTCGTCATTAAGGTAACATAACAACATTTGTGCTTTAGTTTGTTTTACTTTATTTGATCCTTGGTGCCACCAGAAGTAGCATTCGAGATTCCCCAAGCAGCTTCTTTTTTCACTTCGAATTCTGCGTTATGGAGCAGCCAAACAAGAGGCTGAATTAGACCTGCTTCAATCACTGCCTGCGCATTCGGGTTTAGACAAAATCAGACACCCAAAAGTTGACTTTGTTGTTGTTTATTGCCATTTATATAAATATAAATAAAACTCACTTGTATCTGATTTGAACTCCCAGCTGTGATGTTTGAGATAGTCCAGCAAGCTTCCTTCTTGATACTCTTCTTGTAAGTGTTTGTTACAAGGTTTAATAGACTAGGAAGCACTTGAAAGTCGATAACCGTCTGTTAGGAGAATAAGTTAGAGAGACATTTTTTCCTGAAAGTAGAATATTGATTGTATATATATATGCACCTGAGTTTGCACATCATCGCCGGTTACAATATTTCCAATGGTACGAAGCGCAGGAATCAGCACTGTTTGTGACGAATGACTAAGAAGAGGAAGAGGATTAGGAAGCATTCAGGTAAGATAATCATGCCATGCCGTAAATCACAATCAGATACTCACTTTAAGAGCTCAATGAGACGAGGGACAACGCCTGATGCGATAACCGCTTGTATTTTGTCGTTTGAGCTATCCGAGAGGTATGACAGAGCCCAGCATGCATCTGTGAGAACTTCATCATCTGTTGATTGCACAAGGCGCTCAAGAACTGGTAAAGCTGGTTTCGTCTGCTCAAAACGTAAAAAAAAAGAACATACCAGAAACGAGTTAGAATATGTTATGGAGACTCCAAATTTGGTTTACATTCTGCGCATAATCTTAAAGGAAACCTGTTCAAATGAAGGCTGCGGCTTCCCTCTGCAAAAGTTTGATAAGGTCCATGTAGCATTCCTCAGCATCGAGAGCTTTGTTTGTTCATTGAATTGAGACAGAAGAGGCATCATGGCACCAAGACTTAGGACAAGATCGCGGCATTTTGGCGAGTCTCCAGCAACATTTCCCAATGCCCAAACAGCCTATATTCCGGGAACAACCAAACTTTAGAATGATAACAGTCTTACAATTCATAAGGTCTAAAAGAGTTTCTTTGACAACAGGGATAAACAAAACGATGACGGTAACTAACGAATACCTGTTCGCGGACATCCTCACTAGCCGAGCTAAGAAGATGGATGAAGATCGGGACAGCACCGCTTTCAATGATGACATTTGTGTTCTCTGATGTCCCTGAAGCAATATTGGTGAGAGCCCAAGCTGCCTCAAACTAAACACAAGCAGAAATGAACAGAAAAAGCAGGTCAACAAATACATCAAACTCGAAGATAGAGATCAATCATTGATGAAAACGAGGTGCAAGTGCCTCACACCTGAAGTTTGGGAAAGTCATCCCTTGAAAGAAACTTCACGACGCGAGGAACAACACCAGACTGTACAACATCATTGATAGGAGGATTTTGTTCTGCAAAAAAAGCAAAATATATAACTGCTAAAGACTCTAACCAAAACGCTGATTGCTATATACTAAATGACTAAACAACATAAGTCACAAACCGAGCGAAAGCAGTTTCCTTAAGAGATTTGTTGCCTCAAGTTGTAAATTGCTATCCTCTGACCAAATTCCAGCAACCATATCCGGAAGAGTATCTATTAACTGCAATACAAATTACAAAGAGACCTTACAATCGAAGAACAAAAAAACTATGCCAGAATCTGATGCTGAGAATTCGATATACATGTCAAGAACAGATGAAACAAGATTCCATATAGCAATCTAGGTTAGATTTCCCATCAATTCGAGAAACATTAGTAATCCGAATTAGAGCGTGTACTCAGGATTACTAATGTTTCTCGAATTGATGGGAAATCTAACCTAAGAATACATAAACATCGCAAAAACTGTCAATCTAGTCCAAATTAAGATTTGATTAAGCCAGATAATCGATTTCCAATAAACTGATGCGATCTGATTGAGCAAACCGGTACGAAAATCAGAAACTAAAAGTAAATCGCAAACACAAAGAAGCACATACTTTCTTCGCTGAAGAAAGATCCTGTCCCGATTGTGCGGCGGCTGAGATCCCCTCGCGTCTCTTCTTCTGCAGATTCTCCTCCCTCTTATTCTTCCTGATCTCAACCATGTGATCCTCTCGCCTCCGTCGTCCCTCCTCCGCATCGACCGCCACTTTGTATCGATTCCGTCGGACCTCCGTCTTTGCGCTAGGTCTTAGAGACATCTTCGCTTAATCGATCGAAATCGGAGGAATCAGCGATCGGAAAATGAACACGGGTTCGATCGGTGGATTTTGATCTCGAGAGACGAAGAGGATATGAGTGTTAAGGGTTTTGGAGTTGATGCGAGTATATAAGAGCGTGTACTCAGGAGTCTTGTTAATCCCAAAGTGGCCCTAAATCTTGGTCTAAATTACGAAATTACCATGGTTTTTTTTATTTATTTGAATTTGAATCTTAACGTCTCTCTGCTTTTCTAGGTATATTTGTATTTGTTTACGTATCTTAACGATTCACTTATATTTGTTTCCTTTTATTTTCTCCAGGCAAATATTTTAGCTTAACTGGCTTTTGAAGCCCAAATAATGTATTACTTAAAACCCAAAATCGACTCAGATGTAGCCCAACTTAATTAGGCGATCAGGAAAAAGGGTTATAAGTTTTTTTTTTGTTGTTGAACATTATGGGTTATAAGTTGACGTAAACGTTCATTCAAGGCACGAATTATGGAAGTTAAGCTTCTTAAAAGTAGTTAAAACCCTAAGTAAAGATAAATAAAATCTTAAATAAACTACAAACACATTATTAACCCTAAGTAAAGATAAATAAAATCTTAAATAAACTACAAACACATTATTAACCCTAAAATACAGACTCGATCGATAGGAAACAACATATTGATGTATTTTATAAATTTAGTATTGTTGTAAACTTCTTACTAATTCATCTTCTAGAAGAAACATGCACATTTAAGTCTGATTAACTAAATACCATAATAGATATAATTAAATAAATAAATAGAGATTATTTTTGCTTAATAACTTATTAAAGTAATGTTTTGATATGATTAAAGACAAAACGATCCTAGGACAAACCTTTTAATTTGATAAACATACACATCTCCATGCATATACAAATCATACATTCATGTCATATAATATACGCTTCAGACCATCATCATCTCTTTGGCTTTGTAACGTTCTGTATAAGCCTGATTTTGCATCCTCATTTGCTCGTAAAATCTCACAATAAACTCTTCCGCTTTCACGTCAATCATCTCATCACCTCCATCATCATCGCCATAACATTCATCTTCATCATCATCATCATCTTCATCATCTTCATCAAGACAATCCATATCACGCAATGACTTTGCCGATCCATACCCGGATATTCCCGAAGAGGAAGAAGAAGAAGTCGCCGTGAAAACCTCAACCATCTCTGATAGCTGATCGTCACTACTCGCCGGTGATTCATCCTTCACCGGAGAAGACGATGGCAGTATCATATTATTAGTAGATGATGGCAGTATCGTAATATTATCGTTTTTCAAGTGCCGAAAAGACTCGACAACTCGCCGCCAAAACCCGTTATTAAACGGCTTTCTCCTCCGACGACGGCGAATCATGTATAAAACCACACCGAGCACGTGCATGCCACGTGATCGTTTCTTCTTCATCTTATTATTCTTGATCTCTTCTTCGCCACCATTAATCGTCTGATTTTTAATTTCCATATATAATTAACGATCAATGGTGAACGAAAGAGATTCAAGATTGGGGGAGGGTTTTCCCTGCAATGAGCAGGGAAGAGAGATTTTGGAAGAAGATCCCAAGTGGAAGAAAAGATTTTTGTGTCTATTTATATGAAAATAAATAGAATGGTGTAGTTTGACGTTTTAAAAATATTAGGGGTGAAAAGTATAAGTGTTGAAGAGTTTTGGGTTTAAACGATGGAAGTAAAAGCTGTCTCTTTAGAGTTAAGAGAGCTTTCTCACGTCATAACTAGAAAAGACAGCGCGCTCTTCATGCGGTAGTTACGGGAAGAGGAAGTTAAAGAAAAGAAAGACAGCTAAACCAAACACAATTAATTACTACTAATTATATTTTAGTAATTTGTTGTGAAAACTTATAAACTTTATTAATCACTGGAATGTATATATAGAGTACATAGGGAATCTAGGTTAAGTACAATGCCCTGATGGGCCTAATGGGCCGGTATAAGAGTCCATATATGATATGTGTTATAACACTCCCCCTTGAACGAGTGAACCGGGTCAGCTACTCAATCGGGATCTCGATAATGCGCTGGGGAATGTTGCCTCATTAAAACCTTACCAGGAAAAACCCAGTGGGACAAAACCATGGTGAAGGAAAAAGAGTACAACACGCATTACTCCCCCTGATTGTAACATCACTGCAGATCTCTAAGTCTATACATTCCTATCTGTTTGACGAGCTTCCGGTGTGTTGAAGTAGGCAATGATTTGGTGAAGAGGTCAGCTGAATTCTCACTGGATCGGACCTGCTGAACGCTGAGAGTGTCGTCCTTCTGCCAGTCTGAGGTTGAGAAGAACTTCGGTAGAATGTGCTTCGTCCGATCTCCTTTGATATATCCTTCCTTGAGCTGAGCTATGCATGCCGCGTTGTCTTCATACATCACCGTGGGCTGTGTGTCTTCGTCCATACCACAATCTCTGCGGATGTGCTGAGTCATGGAGCGCAGCCAGACGCATTCCCTACTAGCCTCATGAATGGCTAGGATTTCAGCATGGTTTGATGAAGTGGCAGTGAGTGTCTGCTTCATTGATCTCCAAGAGATGGCTGTTCCTCCATGCGTAAAAACGTAGCCAGTTTGAGATTTGGCAGTGTGCGGATCTGATAGATATCCTGCATCGGCGAAGCCGACTAACCCATCTTTATTTTGGTTAGTATAGAAGAGTCCTAAGTCTTGAGTACCTCGAAGGTATCTTAGGAGATGTTTTATACCGTTCCAGTGCCTCTGAGTTGGAGATGAACTATATCGAGCGAGGAGGTTCACGGCGAAACATATGTCTGGTCTAGTGTGACTAGCCAGGTACATTAACGCTCCTACAGCACTGAGGTATGGCTTTTCAGGACCAAGGATTTCTTCATCATCCTTTTTGGGACCAAGAGGGTCATCACTTAAGCTTCTAACTACCATTGGGCTGGTCAATGGGTGAGCTTGGTCCATATTAAATCGCTTGAGTACCTTTTCGATATAAGCCGATTGATGCACAAGGATTCCTCCTTTGATGTACTCAAGTTGTAATCCCAAACAGTACTTTGTTTTGCCTAGGTCTTTCATTTCGAATTCTGCTTTTAAGCAGTCGACTGTTTGGGAGATCTCACCAGATGTTCCGAGGATGTTTAGATCATCCACGTATACTGCTATGATTACAAATCCTTTGTTTGAGTACTTCTTGATGAAGATGCATGGACTGATGGGGTCATTTTTGTAGCCTTCTTTGATGAGGTAATCGCTGAGGCGGTTGTACCACATACGCCCACTTTGTTTCAGTCCATACAAGGATTTGTTCAGCCTGATGCAGTATTGATCTCGAGATGCATTTTTGTCTTTTAGTTCAATGCCATCTGGGAGTCTCATATATATTTCGTTGTCCAGGGGCCCATAGAGATATGCGGTTACAACATCCATTAACCGCAGATCAAGATTTTCTCTTATGGCCAGACTTATGAGGAATCGGAATGTTGTTGCATCCACCACTGGAGAATAAGTCTCCTCATAATCGATTCCGGGTCTCTGTGAGAATCCTTGTGCTACAAGCCGTGCTTTGTATCGAACGACTTCACCGAGTTCGTTCCTTTTGCGCACAAAGACCCATTTGTGGCCCACTGGCTTGATGTGTGATGGGGTCCGGATGATCGGACCGAACACGTTTCTGAGTTTGAGACTCTTTAACTCCACGTTTATGGCTTCTTTCCATTTTAGCCAATCTGTTCGATGTGTACACTGTGTTATTGACGTGGGTTCTAGATCCTCTTGCGTGAGCGCAACATCAAGTGCTACTTTGTATGCAAAGAGTGCATTTAAGTCGACTTCTTTTCGATTCCATTGTATTCCGGACATATTGTAATTGATGGAGATCTCATTGTTATCTTCTGAACCTGGAGATTCGGCGTCCCGAACTTCCATTGAGGGTTCATTAGATTGAGTCTCAGCCGCGGCTATGTCTGATATTGCAGGAATTCCGGTTTCGGTTATTGCACCTTTCTTTGATTTCCGAGGATTCTTATCTTTGGAACCGAGAGGTCTGCCCCGTTTGAGACGTGGTGCAGACTCTGTAGCAACTTGGGTCTGTCCCGTTGGGACAGCTATTCGTACTGGTGCATTACAAGCTGGGATGTACGATTTGGTTACTTTGGTCGGGTCAGCAAAGGAATCTGGCAATTGATTAGCTAGCTTTTGATAATGAATAATCTTTTGGATCTTTGAATCACATTCTAGAGTCCGAGGATCTTGCCAATTTAATGATGTTTGATTCCATGAAAGATCTTTGACCAGCTTGTTTGTCTCACCACCTAAAGAGGGATATACCGATTCATCGAATTGGCAATCCGCATATCTGGCCTTGAAAAGATCTCCAGTGGTTGGCTCGAGATATCTTATGATGGTGGGAGAGTCAAAACCAACATATATTCCCATCCTTCTTTGAGGTCCCATTTTGGTTCGATGTGGTGGAGCAATGGGTACATATACTGAACACCCAAATGTTTTGAGATGGGAGATGTCTGGCTCATGACCCGAGAGTAGTTGGGATGGGGAATATTTGTGTTCACTAGATGGCCGAATGCGTATGAGTTCAGCAACATGTAATACTGCATGTCCCCATGCTGAGGCCGGGAGCTTTGATCTCATGAGTAATGGTCGGGCTATCCATTGAATGCGTTTAATGAATGATTCAGCCAATCCATTTTGAGTATGGACATGTGCTACAGGATGTTCCACGGTTACCCCCATGGCCATACAGTAGTCATTAAACGCTTGTGAGGTAAATTCACCAGCATTGTCAAGGCGGATAGTCTTTAGTGGGAAGTCAGGGAAATGGGCCCGCAATTTTATGATTTGGGCCAAGAACCTAGCGAAGGCTTGGTTCCGAGAGGACAAGAGACAAACATATGACCAACGGGTTGATGCGTCTATAAGGACCATGAAGTACCGGAATGGTCCGGGAGATGGATGTATAGGTTCACAGATATCGCCCTGGATTCTTTCTAGGAAATGAAGTGTTTGTTTAGAGATTTTAACTGGTGAAGGCCGAGTGATCAATTTGCCTTGAGAACAAGCTGTGCATATGAGGTGTTGAGGATAAGCTCGGTTTTCTTTGAGGGTATGCCCTTGAGAGTTTTGAATTAGTTTACGCATCATATTTACACCGGGATGACCGAGCCGGTCGTGCCAAATAGTATAATCAGTAAACCGGGCTTTGAGAGTGGTATTAGCTTCAATCATACTGACTTTAGCATGGTAAAGTCCAGTAGAGAGCGCGGGTATGGTTTCGAGGATTTGTTTATGGCCGTCTACGGTTTTAGTGACTAGGAGGGATTCTTTGTTCCCTTGACCTTGGGTTTCTATGTGGAAACCATTCTGTCTTATATCCTTGAAGCTCAGAAGATTTCTCTTCGAACTAGGAGAATATAGAGCATCTGGTATTTCAAGTTGTGTGCCATTTGATAGCAACACATAGGCATGGCCATATCCTTCGATAAGGTTTGAGGGACCCGCGATGGTGCTAATATTTGCGGTTTGATAGGTTAGGTTTATGAAGTAACTTTTGTTTCTTAAGATAGTGTGGCTGGATCCACTATCTACGACTATGGTTTCCATTTGCTGGTGTGCTTCATTATGAATAGAAGATAGAATTCAGTATTGAGGAATTCAGAAAATGTGATAAATCATAAAGTAAAGCAATGTCTGAGAATAAAGGCAAATGAAACAAATCCCAAAATGAAAAAAAAAATAAAGAACAAAATCAAATTGTATCAGAGTTTCAGATGATTGAATTAATCGAGGAGATCAGCTGTTTCATAGTCCATGGGGTCGGTCTGCTCGTTTGTGGTGTTCTCATCATCAAGGAGGTCGTCACCTTCCAGGTTAGCAGCATCGACTGGCTGAGTCATGTTGGCTTCAGCAGGAGCTTTTCCGTACTTCTGGTATAGATCGCAGTGGATCTTGGGGGTGCGACATTGCTTTGTTGGGTGGTTGAACATCCCACATCTGGTACAAGCAGAGTGATCAGGGTTGGTGTGGCGGGTCGGCTTGGTGATGCCTCGACCACGACCAGGACCATAACTGAGGTTAGGTCGGTTGCCACGACCATAACTGAGGTTAGGTCGGTTGCCACGACCATGTCTGCGTCCACGTCTTCCACGTCCATGTCCTCGGCCATTACCACGTCCATTACCACGTCCACGGCGGTGATCTGAGGATCTATCGGGTTGAACATGGTAGGACTCTTGACGAGAAGCTGGGACAGGAGCCGATCCCGGGGGCCTCATAGCGCTGTTCCTCATAAGCAGCTGGTTATTCTTCTCAGCGAGGAGAAGACAGGACAACAAGTCTTCGTACAATGTGTGTTTCATTGCACGGTATTGTTGTTGGAGCACAACATTCTCTGTGCTGAATGTGGATAATGTTTTCTCGAGGAGATCATTATCTGTCACATCCTCGCCACAGAGTTTCCGGATGGCAACAATACGAAAGAGTTCGTTGTTGTAATCATCTACGGATTTGTAGTCCTGGAACCGAAGGTTCTTCCAGTCGAAATCTGCCTGAGGCAACTGGACCATTTTCTGATGGTCATATCGCTTTTTCAGCGCTTGCCACAATTCAAGTGGATTCTCAAGAGTGAGATATTGCTGCTTAAGGCTCGGGGCCAAATGATGGCGTATGTGACATATCGCCTGAGACTGTCCCTTACGGGATGCGGTGTTACCGTCGGTAATACACGCATCGAGTTCTTTCGATGCAAGGAACAAGCGCATGTCTAGGGCCCACTCGAGGTAGTTATCCCCGGAGACGTGAAAGGCCTCGAATTCACATTTCTGAATGTTTGACATCTGAAAACATGAGATTGATTTTGTTAGGGATTGTTTTGAGAAAATTTTGAATGCTGATGATGAAACTTTCTATTTTGAGAATATTTCTATTTTAGGAAAGTTTCTAAATTTGGAAAGTTTCTAATTTGGGTAATTTTCTAAATGAGGAAAGTTTCTATGTCGGGAAAATTTCTATATGAGGAAAGTTTTTATATGAGGAAACTTTCTATTAGAGGGAACTTTCTCGGAAATAGTAAAATTTTAAAGGGTATGGTTTTAGTTACCCCGAACATGATGTCGGTTTAATAGCTGTGATTTAATCGGTTAAAGCCGAATATAATTTCGGTTAATGAGAACCAGGTTTAGCCGGTTTTAGGCGGTTTAGGAGGAACCCTAGGGGAGCCGAATATGATTAGGGTTTTATCTAGGGTTTTAACGGTTTGGAAAACATATTTTGGATGTGATTTCGAGATCTATAGGATCTGTGATCGATGGTTTTAATAATTTCACAAGGACAACAAAGAAATCACGTGAAAAGGACTAGGGTTTAAGCATTATGACTTACGATTTTGAAGATTACAAAATCGTGAATCAAGCTTAGGATTTAGGGTTGATTTTCTTAGTTTATTCAATCAAGTGTTTCAAGCAAGAGAATCAACAATCAAATAAGCTGCAACAAGCTTATTAAACATGAAGAAAATCGAATAGGTTTATGCCATAAACATGGCCAAAAACGGTTGTTAGGTTTTTGTAGATTAGGGTTTTATAAAACGAGTTTAAAACCTTTGAACATGCATAAACTTGTAATTTAAACAATCAATCAACAAGTTATCAATCAATCATCAGAGTATCAAACACTTTCAATCAATAAGAGATCGATTTTTTTTTTTTTTTTTTTTTTTTATATAGGGTTTTGAAGTGTTTAAACAACAGGTTCTATGGCTCTCAGTTTTAGAAGATACCTTTTCCACCTTTGGTTTTCTGACAGGCTAATGAAACTGGGAGCTAATAGACCTCAGTTAGCCGCTACAAATTCCAAGGATTGATCACCAAAACTGGAGAAGCTGCTGGTTGAAGAAGGAAAAACTCGGATCTGGTTTTTTTTTTTTTTTTTCGGTTGATCGTCGTGTACTGTAAGTGTGCGTGAGGGCGCGTCCGACGTTGGATCGACAAACGGTTTTCACCAGTAGATTCGTCTCGTCGAGGGCTTCGATTTGATATGTAGATCGTCTTCTGGTTCCTCACGGTTTGGAAGATATGCGTCTTTTAAGTTTCGACTTGCTTTTAGGGTTTTGGTGGTGGCCGGATTTATTAGGGTTTTTCGCTCAGAGAGTTTTATCGTGCTGATAACGTGTTGTGAAAACTTATAAACTTTATTAATCACTGAAATGTATATATAGAGTACATAGAGAATCTAGGTTAAGTACAATGCCCTGATGGGTTTAATGAGCCGATATAAGAGTCCATATATGATATGTGTTATAACATAATTATATTTGTTATTGATTCCTTTATATTTTTATTTTTAGTTATTGCTTCCTTTATCCACTTTTTAAACATTACTTTTAATTCTGTTATTTTTTCACTTGTAATTAACATTTAATGACCAAATAAATTAGGAAGAAATGACTAATGATTGAAAGATCTATAGACATATATATGAATAATGAGGGAACCCTAAGTTACTTGCACGAAAAAATAGCCGCAAAACATGGTTCCATGCAAAAATGACACGACGTGCCAACCTGTAAATTTTCGACATACATATAAAGTCCATGTATATCATTGTATACACATTTGAATTTTTCCTCAGGTTGGTCGGATTATTGGGTAGTTGCCCCGGAATTTTCGAAACTCTTTTTTTTATATACATAAATTTCCACGGAATGTTGTTTCTTACGTTTCAATGTTTCCATACGAAAAAGACTTAGCATATATCAATATTACAATTCCAAAATAACATCAACTTATAGGACTGATCTAGAACTATTGCTACACATACATTAAAGGGAAGACGAGGGAGATGAAAGAAAGTAATTTTAAAAAGAAAAAAATAAACAAAATTGTTTTGGCCAGCTTAATTATGAGGAAAAACAAAATAATTTCTGTGTTACCAATTTATTCTTGGATCCTTAAACTTTACTAATTATTTTGTAAAGGAGAAAACGGCGAACAAATATCATGTTTTACATAATAAAGACATGTTTCATTTCTCTTAATTAATAACTTGTTTGCTGGTTCCAAAGAAGCTCTCTCGTGTTGCTCTTGCTGCTGGTGGTGCCTACTAGTGCTATCTCCGATGATGATTCCTCTATCTTATCTGCGATTTCTTCCTCATTCCTTTCCATCAGTCATGCTCCTTCGTGACTGTCTTCTCTCCTTTCCCAACTCGGATAGTTTCTCCCTTTCTCAACTTGAATTATATTTTATATATTCTGATTGTATTAACTCTCCTCTATAGTTTTTATTGTTAGCTAGCTAGCTTCTTTCCTTTCTTTTAATAAGTTGTATGCGACATTATTCAGAAAATGGTATAATCTTAACCTTTTACCCAAAAAAAATTATATTTTACCTTTTTAACCAATTTGAACTTAAAAGCATTAAAATATATTTCTTTCTCAAAATAAATCCATGCCAAAACATTAGTAAATCAGTTTCACGGAATTTCAAGTCAATATTAACAGGTCTCTTTGGCGGTGCAAAAACTTACTCCCTCTTCCAGAATATATGATGTTTTAAAAATTTCATTCTTATTAAGAAACAATAAATATGTGTTGCTTTTAGTTGTCTTTTCACTTTCTAAAATTTGTTTTTCACACACTTATTAAATGCTCTATAATTTAGTAAAATTATTAAATTTGTTACTATTGGTTTGTTTACAAATAAAAATTTATTACTTCAAAATAATTAAATAAAATATGTTATTAAATCATTCTTGTAAAGTGTAATAACATTAAATATTTCCAAAACATCATCTATTTTGGAACAAAGAAAAATCCTAAAATATATTCTATTCTGGAACAGAGAGAGTATATTATTAGCCGGCATTTTTAAAGTATAATTTACATGAAGACTGTTGTATTTTAATCATTATTGTTTCTTCTTCTTTTGTTGTCAGTATATATATCGTTGTATTGGAAAAAATGGAGTATATTACAAAGAAGATACATGAATCTGTATATGTCTGAGATCCGACAAAGAAAACACGTTACAGTATCTAGAAATGGAACACGGTTTCGTGGAAACTACAAACTATTATAAGGACGCAGCCGCAACAACTAAACTCCTTCCCTCTCAACCTTAATTAGATCTCTAATTTTCAATTATATACTATTTCTTTAACTACAATGAAAGTTCCATTTATGTATTTATCAATTTCTACTAATAAAAGCTTCATGATCATACGTTTTAATTAGTAATGGTCCAACTTAATAGCTAAGTATAGACTTGGAATCATTCGGTAATTAATTTATTTAAAACATAATTGCATTTCATCAAAAGAAATAGTACTCAGTCATATATATGTCTAATAATTTCTTTAGTTCAGCATCAAGATATTTTAGTAGTTATCAAAAAAATGTTTTTTATACAAATGGCAAATCATTATTATATTATATATATTTAAAATGAAAAGTAAAAACAATATCTAAACGTACACATTTCAAGACTGGAAAGTTGAAACTAATAATGGGGTTGAAGCAACAAAATCACTAAAGAGGTTGAAAGTAAATATAAATATGTATTTAAATAAAAAAGCACATAACAGACAAAAAAAATAAAACAAAAAATTGTAAATTATGAAACAAAACGGCTAACACAGCTAAGATATTGTCCGCGTACAGCCGTGACCCACACAGGGCCACATGAACTTATTTGTAAAGTTTTCCTTGCTTTAAAATATTTACAGAGTGGAATACTAATAACAAATAAAATTATAAAAGCATGATAAATAGAAGAAGTATTGGTCTCTATAAATATTTAAAATTTTGGGTATAATTGAATTAATTGAATAAGAAGTTTTTTTGCACTAATTAAATGCTAATCACGTAGGATAATCTATATATATTGTGTATATGTATTTTGGGGGTTAAGGTGATAATCTATTACGACAAAAAAGGTGATAATCTATTTTTATTGTTACCCCGCGTTGGGCAAATTGCAAACAGCAAGCAAAAGCTGCACACTTTTGTGTATATATATATATATACACACACACAATCATTTCAAGAACCCAAACCAACAAACACTAGAAAAAAAGCTTCTTTTTAAGAGAAACAAAAACCATCTCAAATCTCAAATCATATCACCACCAAGAATCAGTTTTTTTTTCTGTGGTAAAAGCCAAGAATCAATATTTTGCAGAGTATCAATCATCAATGGCGGATTCATCGAAGAAGAAAATCAGTAGAAGCGCAATAACACATAAAGTTTGGAGTCTTGTGAGGATGGCTCTTCTATGGGGAAGGAAAGGTGGAGTTTTCAAAAGATGGCATTTGTTCGAACTTCGTAACTTGTTCTCCAAGCATCTCAAAGCCCTAGCACATCATAACAACGGTGACCGTTATCTCTCCCGTTACGGAGAACGTCAGCTTTCCTTTGATGAGACGCCGTTATTTAACGTCAAGAAGAAGGTGTATCATCATCCTACGTCTATGAGGTTCCTCCTCCCCTGCATTGCTCCTCCCGTAGAGTTTGAGGATGACTTTGGAATGGACGGTCAAGATTATTTCGATGAGGTGAGATCGTACGGTTACGATGAATCTTGTACGGAAAAGAGAGATCGTACGGCTAAGGATGATGAGGAGGAAGAGAAAGGGGTGGATGTGAGAGCAGAGGAGTTCATTGCTAAGTTCTATGAGCAGATCAAGTTGCAGAGGCAAATCTCTTATTTGGAATACAAAGAACACAACGACATTGTATCATTATAGATTTACCGTTTTTTCTTTTTTTGAACGATGGTGCTTATTACTTATGTTTAGTTATTATGATTGCAACTTTCTTTTTGTAGATAATTAAGAGAGTGTGTGACTCAATCTTCAAGATGTTTCACTTTTGATCTTTTTGATTTGCCTGTACTTTTTGTTCTTTAAATTTTCTAAATAAATTGCCTTTTAGCTTATGATAAATATTCACATAGCATTATAGGAAAGACAAGAATATCATCCACCTTTGGCTATTGCTCCTTCTCTATGTGTTCTAGATCTCCGCCTATTCAAACTTCTGTAGTATTCACAAAGCCTTAATGAGTTTATGGTGAAGAATCAAACCATTTTTATAGCCTTTTTTCGACCGATGTAGAAACATTTCGGATATTTTTGAAAAACAGAAATATTACCATTAATGTTGAAGCCATAGTCCAAATTAAAAGTCCCTAAGCCACAGAAATATAAATCATCACCAAAAAAAAAATCCAGTAGTTTGATATAAATTATATGTTCAAATTTGAATAACATCAATGGAGGGAATGCATTCAGTTGATATTATCACCAAGTTGTGCGCTGGATATGAAAAAGCGAGATTAGGCAAATTAGCCATTTGCTGTGGTTAATTTACATCCACTACCACAAATTCTTTTGGATTTCGAAAGCGCATGCTCACGAACTCAATCTTTTTATTTTGGATTAAAAAGATGATGTTACGTATATTATTTGAAACATTGATACAATATTTTATAGATATCAGATCGCTTATATTTTTTTTATTTATATAATTATTTATTAAGAATGACTAGAGCATATTGTTTTTTTTTTCATTCCCAAGAAAGTGCGCGAGCGAGCGGAGGTATACCATTTTTCATAAAATAAATTCCATCAGTTTTGGCAACCCATAAACGTGTCTCACCACATCGTCTGCTTTGGGCACCTCTGTACACCTCAATATTACGAGAATGCTCTAAATTAGGGCCATGCTTCAAGAGACATGTTATCTCCCTCCTCTTATATCCCTTTTCCTCCTCCACAAATGTGAAGACCTCATTAGCACCAACTGCCAAATCTATTCCTTCTTCATAAGTTTTCCCAACATGGCAATATATGCTAAGAATACGAGATGGAGGAGTGAGTTGGTTAGATATTGTAACGTTATTTTCCAGGCATGCTTCGTTCAACTTAAAATATATAACAGTAATTAACATAAAAGAAATGAAATAGTTCATTTTTAGATCTAAGATAACTTTTAGAATAACAAAACATCAAATTTGTGTATTTATAGTTTTTTGTGTGGATATTCTTTTTCAGTTACACAAATATAAAAAATGAATAAAAATATTTGGTCATACAAGATTTTAATTTTATTACTAAAATCTACAAAATTCTTGTTTGACCATATATCTGTTTATAGATTGATTACTAAAATCTTGTATGACCATATATTTTTGTAGATTTATTACTAAAATCCTGTATGACTATGACTACAAAAATATATGGTCATACAAGATTTTTGTAGATTTTAGTAATAAAATGCAATTACGTTTTGAATAAATTAATTACCGAATAATTCCAAGTCTGTACTTAGCTATTAAGTTGGACCAATACCTAAAACTTATGAAGGTTTGCTTAGAAGAAATTCATAAATACATAAAATGGAACTTTGTTGTAATTAAACAAAGAGCATAACTTAAAATCAGAGATCTAGTAATAAAGCTTGAGAGTGAAGGTTAGATTAGTTTAGTTGTGACTTGTGAATGTCGTTGTTGCGGCTGTCTCCTTAGACCATGTCTATTGGTGAACCTCTTTTTAGGTTCATCAGAATATTATAATTATTTTTTTTGGTTTTGAGATTATGGAAGAACTTATGCAATTTTTAGGTTCCATTAGTGAATCTGAAAATGGAGTTCATCAATAATAATAATAATAATAAAATTTATATTTAAAATGGAGAAGAAGAAAACAAGAATCACTCCCCACCAGCTCGTAACTGTGAATTCTTCTTCATCAATTACGTCATCACCAACTGGATTGTGGTTGCGACGATGATGAAGAACTGGGGCTGAAACTGCTTACAGATCTTGCCGGTTGTGTCTCCGTTACACCAACTGCGATTCTGATTGCTGGTTCTTCCCCTCATACCGCTTCCTCCTCGGCGACGCTTACGGATTCGGAATCCTCGCTGTCGTCGTCATCGTCTTCTTCCACGGTGGTGTAATCTTCGCCGTCTTCTGATGAATCGTCGTCTTCAACGACAAGAGGAAATCTTTGCCTCTTCGGGGAACGATGATCGGTGGGTCTGGGCGGAATCGACATTTCCAGAATCGTTTCTCGCTCGAGAAGACGAAGAGAGAAAGAAATTTTCCCCGAAAGATTTTTTTTTTTTTCCATGCAATAATCCCCTTTCTCGCGACCAATCACCACATGCCAGCCACGTGGTTTGGACACGGGGTCGTTGGGCTCGTCCGGATAACCCGAGTCTTCTGTATTGGGCTTATTCTCATTTATTTTTAATCTGATTTGCATATGAACTCGAACCCAAAAACGGGAATACCCCCAATAGACCTGCTCTTATAATAGTTTCTAGTTTCCACAAAGCCCCGTGTTCCATTTCCACATACTGTAACGTGCTTTATTTGTCGGATCTCATGACATATATAGAGATTCATGTATCTTCTTGTAATGTACTCCATATATTTTTTTTCTCCAAATTTTAGTACAAAGATATATATCTATACATATATATATATATTGACAACAAAAAAACAACAATAATGTTAAACATAAAACAATGTTCATGTAAATTATAGTTTAAAAATGCCGGCCAATAACATAAGTTTTTGCACCAACACGCCTTGTTACTACTGACTCTTACAATGCACCTTGTAAAAATTTAGTAAATACTTAAATTTTTGGCCAATATTTTACAAGGTGCATTTATCTCGATCGTGTTTCTTGCACCTCTCTTATTGGTGTTGTGAATTCTGTATGTGAAGTTTGTTGCCAGAAGGTAGATTGGACTTGTGGAGGTTATTTTTGTCAAATATTTACTGGTTATGTCGTTCATTCGAAATGTGCTACCAAGAAGGATGTTTGGAATATTCGGGAAAGAACTCGAAGGTATAACCGAAGAAACAGAAGATACAATATGTGGTAATAGATGACAACACAATACAATATTTCAGCCACAAAGATCATTTGTACTTAAGACTCAATGCTGATGGTCTTCTCTGCAAGGAGAACAGGCGTTGCAAAGCATGTGCCCATCATATCTGTCTACAATCCTTCTATGGCTGGATGGATTGCGGTTTTGTTATCCCCCAAACTTGCGCTGAACTTCCTACAAGGAAAAGGCATGTGTTACACAATGAACGACGACTTACTTTAGTTACAAGCGAGGCCGAGTGGTTCTAGTATGGTGCTTGTCATAGAATGTCCAACGGTTTCAGGTACAAGCATGGAGATAAGAAATTAATTATCTTGTGCGGTACAATTACTGAGTCATTTGTGCATCCAAGTCATCCCAATCATCCTTTATATTAAATTCCACGAGATGAAGCTGAATTCTGCAATGGTTGCAAGGGGATATATTATGCTCTGATGCATTGAAGATGGTTGTGAATTTGTTTTGGACTTCAAATGCACCACTTTACCACAAGTGGTGAAGCGTAGAGTTGACGATCATTCTCTCTCACTATGCTCTGGAGAAAAGGCAAGTGGTAAATATTATTGGTGTGACATTTACGAGAAAGAAGCCAATTCAGAGACATGGTTCTACACATGTAAAGATCACCTAGCTAGTTTGCATACAGAGTGTGTGCTCGATCGGGGACTTGTCAGGGCTCATGCCAAGAAGTACAATGAATTTTTGGGGCGAAATCTTTGAGGTGGTGCTCAATAAAAGTATAACTCGCTCATTTTGCAGGGTCGAGTTGCATAGACCCTATATATCATTTTGAAGTTGCTAGGACCCTCAGATACATACTTTTTGATCTTATTAATTGCCTGTATAGGTCGTTTCACAAGACGTCTGTGAAGCCAATACATTCGTTTTAGTTCCTTTTGAAAATGTAAGAGTAGTAATACGGAAACTAACACAGAACACAACACAAGGATTTTCTCTTCAAGAATATTTCACTAGTAAATCTGTTTGTAACTTACAAGTATACAGAACCCGATTTAGAGCAACCTCAAGACACACCTTGATTTGCTACACTAGCCTCACCTGTTCTTGAATCGATACGTGATCCAAGAACCTCTCACCCAAACCCCTTAGCACACTAGCTCACAAAAACTCTCACAGATTTTCGCTCACCCTTTGCTAAGAATTCTCTCAGTTGTGTTCAAACCCTACACGGTTATTCACACATCTATTTATACACAATAGGACTTGCGGCTACTCCTCGCCTAGACTCTCTTTACGATTTCTCCAAATCTTCATGAGAATCTTCACCTTCCTATCTTCTCCTAAGATAGAGGAAACTTGATATTTTCTTCAAAAGATCCTCCAAGATGCTCCAAGCTTCCTGTCCACGTCAGCTTCTCGTCTCTTGAAGTGTCCAACACGTCCTGCAGCTCCAGCTCAGCTTCCAGCTCGCCTCCACGTGTGTAGATTGCTACGCAAGTCTCCCCGTGTCAGTTCCAAAGCTAGTCGGACTGCTACACGTGCTACTCCAGCCTTGTTTGCATCTTCAATCTCCCCCTTTTTAGCATATGTGCTTCACAAGTACCTGTCCAAGAAATCGAGACCAAACAAGCAACAACCAACATACTACAAGCCACACACAATTCTGGGAATGATTCCGAGTAAACAAAAGAACTCCAAGAAACCAATGGAGTGTCAAGTCTTAACATCAACGAGTTCAAGGAGATAAAAGATAGAACACAATGTCTAAAAAAAAAACTCTCTCCTTACTCCCCCAGAATTCTAAAACCCAAAAAAAAAAAAAACCAACACAAACTCCCCCATAGTTCATGCATCCACCGATTTCAATCTTCTCCCCCTGCTTGTGAGCACAGATGTTAAAAATAATCGATGAGCAAACATATTTTGAAAGTTCAGAGAGGGTCGAAGTGAGGTTACCTGTGACTGCAGCGCGTAACATGGCCGTTACTACTCCGAGTTGCTCAAGAACTGATGCCACATCTTCAAGAGCTGTCCTGATTCCCTCTGCATCGGCTGGAGCCTCAGACTTACGTTGTTGACTCCTCCAGTTGACATGTTCGGCTGGGCAGCGGTTGTTGAATGCGGATTCGAGGTTGCGGGACGATATGTCGACGCAACTCCAGTTCTCTTTCTTGCCTCTTTCTTCCGTTTCTCCTTAGCCTTTTCCTCGGTAACTGCAGCAGCGGCTTCCTTCTTGAGAAAGGTTTCCCCACTACGTGGATCCTTCTTGTATTTGGTTGGGAAGATCCACATTTCACCTTCTTCGAGCTGCAGAATGAGCTGCCTCTTGATGACCTTGCTGATGAGACAGGGAAACATCAACCATCGTCTATCCCCCTTGATGACCTTGCTCAGATCAAGCATTTGCTGGAAGATCATCCGCCCAATGTCAACATTGATTCCGTGTGCCAGCTTGTAGACCAACCTTGCCCGTTCCTCAGAGATGTGGTGCTTGTTCGTTGAAGGGACCCAGTTGTAAGATGCGATGACCATCAGTGCAGCTATCCGTGGAGGGAAATCTCTCGAGGTTAACCCAGACCATGTCGACTGATGCCCTTGTGACAGATATTTTGATACCTCAGAAATTGGCACAAGATCTGCCTCAGCCTCCTCTTTTCTTTCTACTTCAATCAGAGGCTCGCGGCGTAAGGTCTCGTTGATGATCCCTGGAGAAATTCAGACTTTAGCTCCCATGATTCTCACTACAAAGACCTGAGATGGATCACTTGGTGACTCTGATGGTAGCCCTACATAGAACTCTCGCACCACCTTGCTCATGTATGGCTCGAGCTCGGTCACCGTCCACCGCATTCCGCTCTCACGAAGTACCTCAAGGTACTTCCATTCATCTTCTTCGTCCACATCTACAACTCGCTCGCACCAGATGTGACGATCCTTGAACACCTGAAATCGTTCATCAGACACCACCCTCTTTTTGCTCCTGAGATTGGCCTTCTTCTTCTTCTGTTTGATATGACTCGAATCAGCCTCTGGGCAAGGAGCGGCTGGGGTTGATTCAGCTCTTGGTTCTGAGGCTTCAGCGGATGGGGTTCTTTTCTTTTCTTTCCGAGCTCGCTTTGAAGCAGGAACTGTCACCATTGCCAAGCTCCGCTTCCTTTTGACCTCGTCGATTTGCTCCTGAACCGACATCTCCTCTGGCCGTTCGTCTGTCTCAGATGGCAGACCTCTTCCTTCTTCATCCTCAGAAACCACTTTTCGTTGTCCTTGGGCTCAGCCTCCATTCGGGTCTCCGATGCGACTTCTCTATCCTCCCTCAGTTGATCGACTCCTTGCGATTCAGTTTCGGCTCGAGGGCTTTCTTTGTTTTCTGCTTCAGATTTATTCGCACCATCGTGTTCCTCCTCTTGTGCCACCGATTCAACCTGAGCTTCGTCGAGAAGCGGATCCTCTTTACCAAGATGATGAGTCTCCGCCTTCGTCTGCAGTAGCGAATGACTCGCTCTCGCTTCCGGTCCCCTTTCCTGTTCCAGACTTCTCTTCACTCTGAATCACCCGCGGATTCTGCTCTTTCCCACTTGATCCATCGATTAGATGAGGAGACGAAGTATCACCTGTTGCATGTGCCATCTTTGATTTCGATTTCCTTCTGATGAGCCCTCTTCGTGTCGCAGACACCATTTTATGAGCAGATCTAGATTGAGATGCTTTGAATTGAGTAACGCGAGTTCTTTGCACCTAGGGTTTTGACTCAATTCAGTGTTGTGTCTCTTCCTCTTCCTCTCCCGCAAATATAGCAACTTCAATTTCCCTCTCCTCGGTTTGATTTTACTTTTCCTTCATGGGCTGCTGTTGGACCTATCTGCATGAGCATCATTTGTCCACGGCCCACTTCCTGTTCAACCATGACACACCCTTTTCTAGCACAATGGAATTCGTTAGTACACCACAAGGAACACGACAGTCATTGACACATTTAATCCAAAGAATTTTGTGACGACTAACATGAATAGTAACCGTTCACATCATCACACCTCAACTAGCTTTTGAAAACAGTTTTTGAGATTAACTTATTTACCCAGATTCACAGATGACACATAAGCTGATTCAGCACATGACTCGAATGATCACTCCGCTTCTATTTGATTCTTTGTGCCTTGCCAGGTTTGATACCGAGACTAGCTTTCACACTATCTTGTCTTTATCACGCTCTTCATCAGTTTTCAACCTTTATTCAGCAAGAGAGAACCTTAGGTACTTGGCACATTGTATTTTTTTTATTGGATACACTGTGACTTGGCAGCTTCCCTTCTTTTTCTGCCTTGGGTTTTTCTTGAGCTTTGGACAGGTCTTCTTTTTGATGTAGGACCTGTCTCTGCAGTACAGATTAACCTATAGCTCAGTCTTATCATTGCGGTTTCTCAAAGACCGACTTATATTGCTTTCATGTTGTTTGGTTCTCTCTGTGAAACCTGTACTGATGTCGAGACATGACGAAAAGATAAGTAGCTCTTTTTCTTCGACCTTTAACCTTCAAGGCTGAATCGAAACGTTATGTTCATCCTGAGCCTGTACTTGTATCAGTTCTACACATCTCAAAGCACTTGTTAAATTCCACAAACACCAATTGCATTTCTTAAAGTGACAAAACGATTAAAGTCCAATGGTTTTGTGAATAAATCAGCCAGTTGATATTCAGTGACTACATGCTCGATCACTACCTGTTTTCCATCCACTAACTCACGGATAAAGTGGTGTCTTATGTCGATGTGTTTTGTCCTTGAGTGTTGTACTGGGTTCTTGGAAATGCTTATAGCACTCTTGTTGTCACAGTACACAAGAAGTGGACCTGAATTCATTCCATAGTCAGCGGACATCTGCTTCATCCACAGTAGTTGGCTACAACAGCTCCCCATGGCAATGTATTCTGCTTCAGCAGTGGAGAGGGACACTGAATTTTGCTTCTGATGAGCCACGAGATGAGGTTATTCCCGAGAAAGAAACACCCACCACTGGTGCTTTTCCTGTCATCAGCACTTCCTGTCCAATCTGCATCACAGTATCTCACTAGGTTCTGATTTGATCCTTTCGAGTACCAGATACCTAAATCAACTGTGCCCTTGACGTACTTGATGATCCTCTTTACAGCCTCAAGATAAGATTGCTTAGGTTTAGCTTACCTAGCGCAGATGCCAACACTTAGGCACAGATCCGGTCTGCTCGCTGTGAGATAAAGGAGACTCCCAATCATTCCTCTATACAAAGTTGGATCAACACTTGTTCCCTCATCATCTCGCGTGAGACTGGTGGTTGTGCTCATTGGGGTCTTTGCTTCTTTGGCTGAATCAAGCTTGAATCTTTTCAAGAGGTTCCTAGCATAGGTGCTTTGTGATATGAAGACACCTTCCTCATATTGAGTGATCTGAAGTCCCAAAAAGTACTTGAGCTCTCCTACCATACTCATCTCAAACTCACTCGTAATGCTTGCAACAAATGCATCAACTAGCTCTTGAGAGGTCCCTCCGAAGATTATGTCGTCCACATAAATCTGAACAACCATAATCTTATCTTTCTCCTCCAGAATGAACAAGGTTTTATCCACACTACCTCTCATGTAACCTTCTTGAACTAGGAAGCTCGTCAATCGTCCATACCAGGCTCTGGGTACCTGCTTCAGTCCATACAACGCTTTCTTAAGCTTGTACACATGAGCCGGGTTGCCTGCATCTTCGAACCCTTTCGGCTGCTCCATATACACCTCCTCCTGAATCAGACCATTCAGAAAAGCACTCATGACATCCATCTGATATACCCTGAAGTTGAGTATACATGCCATTCCCAGAAAGAGTCTGATTGACTCAAGGCGTGCCACAGGTGCAAATGTCTCTTCAAAATCCACTCCTTCTACTTAG